AAATATGCATGTGGGCAGTCACACACAGAGATACAATCCTCCTAGCAACGTGCCAATTTGCTTCTCAGGATTTCAAAGTCTGGACACCTCTCATATAGTTTTATAAATACAGTGAACATACACATACACTGAAAGAAAGAGGAGCCCGGGAATATATATTTTTAATTTCCTTCCAACACACACATTATAGCCACAATCAGGCTCTCCTAAGTGATATATAACATCATAATCACACATACAAGATGACTAAATATCTCAGCACTCCCAAAACATATTTTTTGTGATTTTCTTTTAAAATATATCTGCACATATTTTTCCAGTAAATAATAATCTCCTTAGGGCATATTATAAACAGGCACTAGATACCACAAATATGTACACAAGAAGCTAAATTTGACTGTGAATTTAATCGTCTGAGAGGTAGTAATCTCCATCTCCTATTGTGTGAGAGGAAGACGTTTTGACAAGTACATGAACTCCTGTATGAAGCCTCATCCTACTGCAGTTTAGCAGATATTTAAATACCTGGGAAACTAGTATTTCACAATGCAGAGCTGTGTAACAGTCCTATGTAAAAGCCCTGTCCATTCCCCAAATACACTATTTCGAAAAAGTACCCTGGTAAATCATTCTGATTTCATTCTATATTGTAAGTAAATGTTCTTAAGGTACTAGTGGAATTTGCCAGAGGGGTAATGACTTTAAATTCTCAAAGGTGAAATCCTGGCCTTACCAGAGCCAATGAGAATTTTCCCACTGACTCCATTAGTAAGGAATTCACCCTTTAAGGTCTTCCTCATAGAAAATTATGTTGCATCTTGTTTGGGGAAAGGACAGAGACTTTCCCTTGCTTCCTGAAATACATTTGTATAGTGCAGTTAATATAGAAACTACATTATTTGAGACATTTCAAATTACACTGGACAAAATGCTTAGATATACTATAAGGAATTACCCTGCATGTACAGCCAGTTGGTCTATCACAGATGACTCACAAAAGACATTTTTTAAGATCTGTTTTCTACAAGTCTTCCTTTGCTACATGTGTCAGACTGGAACTTTCCTTAGCAGCATCTAAGACCCAAAAAGCTTTGTTATGGAAAGTTTAAAATTTTTTTTTTATGGCAGACAAAGTATTTTGAGACAGGGAAGTTGGGTGAACTTCTGGCCCCGTTAGGGTCCAAAGGGAGTTTTGACATTGGCTTCACTAAGGTGCCAGGATTTCACACCTGGAGATTAAATATGTTTTGCAGAAAGCTTAATACAATGGGATGGTGACTTCTAGATATTACTGACTTATAAAACAGGAATGATTTTGATCATAGAACATTAATCTATAAATACTCTATAATGTCTTGAACTAAACTCTCATTACAGGTTTTCAAATTCTTAGTGTAAAAGCTACTTGGGTCTCCATGCAGCTCCAGTGTAAGCAGGACAGTACTTCAAAGGGTATCTCTCATATTTAACTGTGTAACATACACTGGGCAAGAGGTAAATACATCCCTTTCCTATAGACAGAATTTTACTCACCCAGAATTATTTATTATCTTTTATAGCAACCTATTATGAAGTAACTTTGTTAACCTGGAGAAGTGACTGGCTCACAAAGAGAGGCCCAAGCTTTAAGAATACCTGTTTTTAAATGATGCAATAATTTGGGGCATGCAGCTTAATTTTAAAAAAATATTAAGTATTGTACAAGTTGTAGATAGTAATGCATTTTATTTTGGTCGTACTTTCTAAATTCTTCCTGTTACTGTCAGAGTCAGAAATCTCCTTAGCATATATGGAAGAAGTGCCAGTCATTGACACATCAAACAAATCTTGCGCTGAAAAACAGCTGTTGTTTGCACAGACCAGTGATTCCCAACCAGGGCTACTGCTGCACTCTGGGAAGCCTTGAGAATCTTTTAAGGGTGCCAGCAGATGCCACACAATGATAGTACTGTTAGCTGTGCAAATATGATTCACAATATAAACCCAGAGATTTGAATAGGAACCATAGTGTTACAAGCATTCCAACCCATTGTGGTCTTTTTTAATTCTTAGCAACTGAAAAATTGCTCTATTATTTTTCTGTAGTAAAAAAATGAGGGAAAACTAAGAGCTGGCATTTTGCAAAGGGTGCCTCGAGTCTAACATGGGGTGCCTTGAGTATAAAAATTTGAGAATCATTGGCATAGACTGTAGCTGCCTTTAAATACCTTGTGCCAGCATGTTCACAGCCTCAAGAAATGTTTTCCTCTCCACATTCTAAGCAATGGAAATTACAAAGAGAAAATATAATAGTTGCTATTATAATAGGTTCAAATATAAACAAACCTGTTGTCTTTCCTCTGGTCATTTTGCAGACACAGTCAGATTGCTGGGTTTTTTATACAAATTTGAACTATCCACTGTTTTTCCCATTTGGTTCCCAACATATTCTTTTATCCTTCTGTTTTGCCCCTTCCTACTTCATTTTTCCGCTGATGCCACCTCTTATGTCCTTAATTTTGTGTATTATATATGTATGTTACATTTGACATACATACATGTAAAATACATGTAATATATGTATATATTATTCTTTAAGTATAAAATTCAGCTCACCCATGGAAGTGCATGGTATCTTGCAATAATTGGCTTGATTTCACAGGTGTTGAGCAAACAGATATTCCCACGCTGTGAAACTTCCATACCTTTGAAAATTGGATCAAATATGGGGTCTTTATTATTTTAAACTCTAAAAGCAGATCCCGGATATCCTGACATTAGTATCCTGTTGGCTCCTGTGCCAAGTTCAGCTGATGCTTCCAGAGGTTAAGTTTTCAGCCCGTGTTGCTTTCAGCCAAATGAGCACAGCCAGGGTAGTTCAGGTCTGCGACAGCTGAAAACTAAGACTACATAGAAAGCAGAAAAATGTCTTTGGTTTTTTAAAACTATTTTTCTTCTAAAGAGATGTATATACCCTACTCAAAAATTGAAGTTGCACATACCAGACTAATTGCATCCAGCTGTTACAATGCAAATCTGTTCAAACCAGGTGAATGCCATCAGCTTTATATCCTTTTTATCACTTATTTCCCTTTTATTACTCCATTAAAATATTTTTGTGCCTTCTGACCTGACTAGTCATCTGCTAAATTTATATTTGCTTAAATTTATGCTGATCACCTACTGTACAAGATCCACATAAAATTTCTGGTATCTTCCATGGATTGCATAGTGAATAACAACTTTTATTTAAAAAGGAATAAAATATTACAAGCATTAATACATTTTATGAAGAATGATGTGATAATCTCATAACCCTCTACTGAAATCATATCACCACCTTGGAAGATTTTCTCATTACTGACCAAAAAACCAAAATAATATTAAATATCAGAGATGAGAAATCAGTAAAAGAGTAGAACTGTAATTTTTTTCTTGAAAGGCAAATCTATCTGTATGCAGCAGTTGTAGTCTCATTAGTTGCTTTTGTATTTCCTTGCAAATAGGAAAGATAACATATTTGAGTTACAAGAGAAAGACCATTTTTAAGCAAATTTTGAAGATATCTGGTAATAAGTGGAGATCAAAATAATGTTTAAAAGGATAAACACAAAATGGGAACTATTACTTTATTTAACGGTTTGGGAACAGTCAATGTCATTTGTTAATGTTACTTTGAGGCATCATTTATGGAGACGTAGTTTCTCTCTCTTGACTTTCCCCCCTTTTCAGGAATGAACTTTCTGAGTCTATCCAGCAGGTGGCTTCAGTCCTCCTTCAAATGGTAAATGCATCAATTTAAGAAATTCTTCATCAGTGCTGCAGTAGAAAGTTAGTAGCTACGTTAAGGTCATTATTTGAAGCCCTCAGAGCTTCTAAAGCATCTCCCCTGGAAAATCCCATTTCCATAAGTCGTGCTACCTACAAGAAAAATAATACAAAAACATTGTTCAGTAGAGTTTTAGCCATATTTTTCCCATTACAATTGTCACACACCAGCAAGAATTGGGTTTATTAATGAATGGCGAGTACAATGACATACTTTTATTTAAATAATTAAGCAGAAGTATATACTGTAATACTGCAACTGCTGCTATGAGACCACATGCTTGAATAAGCCTGAAAACATTACAGCAAGTGAGAGATTTTAGTTGCAATACTAACCAGCCTTTAAAATGTAACTATTTATTGAGGATACAACAGCTTTATTTTCTGGCAGATCAAAATTAGAAATATTTGTAGAAGAGTGAAATGAAAAGGAAAGTTTTGTTATGACTGTAAAAGTATGAGATTGGAGAAAACTACTGAAAATAAAACTTAGGGCTCATGCACTGCTGATAAGAAATGGCATAAAAATAGTGAGCAGACCAAGGAATTTTGCAGTAGACATCAGAAGGTGTCTTTACATGTGGTCTGGGATGCAGTGGGAAGCACTTTAATTAGAGCAGCTCTCAGAGCCGCTCTAATTAAAGCACCCCCAGCATCATGTATATTCAGTGTCCCATGTTTCAAAATGGCAGCAGCTGTGCTTTAACTAATGCTCGTTTGACGATCTTTAGTTAAAGCACCCCCGCCATCATTTTGAAGTGCGGCGATGCTGAATACACATGACGTGGAGGCTGCTGGAGCATGCCAATTAGCAGACTCGATTAATCTAGAAGACTTGATTAATTAAGTCAGCTCTGATGGGTGTTAATTAGCATGTACTGGAGCAGAAATGTCTGGCATGTTCTAGGTGCCCACAGTGTTTAATTGCATATGTATAATTTTTTCTAAAGGGTGCTTCCTCAGACATATTGCATGAAGGGGCTCTCTTCAGTTCCTTTTTTCAAACATTCACATAATACAAATAATAAAAATACAGAAATGGAAGGCATCTGAAAGCTAGCTCTAAAAAAAAAGTAGTAGTAAAATACTTAAACTAGTTGATTAACATTCATATACAGGATTCCAAGCATTAGCAAATTGTTATGTTTGATAGTGCAAGACCTTGAAAACAGCTACAGTTTGCAGGACAACCATAATTCCGGTAGTCAGAATGCACTTAAGAAGCATCTTTCACATGTTTTAATACATTTGTAAAAGCTAATTTTTGTCTCTGTGTCAGCTGCTCTTTATATACGCTGACTTTGTAATGCATTTAATCCTGGCATTATTTTATGCTATTATAAAAGATGTGCAATTCAACACCTAAAAGGATAAATCATACCCATTTCAGGCTGCAGTAAATTTGAAACCTGCATTTTTCAAATAGGTATAGATATGTGAGAATGTTACTCATTTCTTTTGCAAGTTTTATTATTGCATTCACACTCAACAGCAAATTAAATATTTTGGACAAAAGTCACTTAGGTGCTGTGGAAGAAGACCCTTGCTATCTCCCACTTACTGAGAGTTAAAATCCAAAACCAGACATCATGACTCAAAAAGCCACAGTATAGGAAGGGCGTCTGGGAGATAATCTGAGTCATCCTCTATTGGTGCATTCTGCTGAAGCCTAGTCTAAGCTGCCCTTCCCCAAAGAAAACCTGAAGAGAAGTCATGTGCAATGGACTTCCTTCTATGGGGTAAGTCCCTCCATGGCGTAACAGCATTTCCTTGCATGAGCAAGAACAAGTTTAACCCTTTACATCTAGAAATTCACACTGTGAATGTGTTGTCAAGAAAACTGTGATTAAAAAAAACTGCAGTACTTTCAGTATTTCTACTCTATTCAGTAGTTTCTGAGCAACTTGCTATTTCTAACTGAACACTAGAGGGACTCTGTTCTCCAAAATATCTCCTCATATAAAACAGACAGAGGCACTTTTTTGATTTTACCCTAAATAACTTTTATTGCTAAATTAACATTTATGGAAGAAAAAAAAATCCAACAACACTTTTATTCTGATTTACTCAGATGTGAAGAAGGCTTGTCAAGAATATGCCCCAACTATAAAATAGATCCAATAAAAGGTATCACAAAAAACCATCGCCTCCCATATATTTTCTGGGCTATCATAATTACAACACTCCACCCCTACTCAAAAATTGTCAGTTTGTCAAGTACAACCGCCAAATACAGAGATTGTGTCAAGAACAGAGATATGGGGGCATCTTTGCCACAATATTTTGACATCAAAATTCATAAGTAGCAATACCTGAAGATCTTACTTTTTAGATTTTCATGAAACTTTTTCCTGTAACCATTATGGATTCAAACTTTAAAGAAGAGGGCTGTGAGGCAAAGCTCATGTTTATAGAGGTTTCCACTGGGCTTAATAGAAAACATACTTTGACAACAAGTAATTCTTTTAGTCAAATGTACCTCAAGTACAGGAATTCAGTACAGCCTATGAAACAGAAAACCTGTACTCTGTGAATTCATAGGATTTATAAACTCATAGAATCAGTGAGTCAGAAGGGACCTAGACAGATCA